TATGTAATGTCGGGTTGGTTTGGTTTCGATTTGACTTTCTTTAGTTAAAACCAAACCAAACCATTTATGGTCGGGTTTTTTTTCCAACACCAAAGCAAATCAAACCAAACCAAACTATAGTCGGGTTATTTTTCTCGATTTGACTCGGATTATCGGATTGGTGCAGTTTGTCGGTTTCGTTTGTACACCCCTAATAGCAATGATATAGGCAGTTGAGCTAAAGCCTATACCTGTGACATCTAATTTGATCAATGTTTAGTTCGCTGAACTTACCCTTAGTTTTCATTGAGGTTTCATGTTGCGGCCAAACGCACACCCAAGTATACGCGGTAGTCAAATAATAAAGTGATTAAAAGTCGGATGTCGAACCCATGAGGACTTGTGATTAATNGTTGAGACCGTGTAAGATCGAAATAACCTTATCCCGAACAAAATAGAAAAACCGCCGCTTCAAGCGTCCAGGGCAGCGCCTCGCGCTGGCCCTGGCGCACAATACAGTAGCGTTTTTCGCAATTTCAATTTCTACTGCCAATTTACTTTCCTCCAAAGTGACTTTTGCCTAACCTTTCTTTTCCAATGTCTTACTCAGTTTGCTGCTTCAATTTAATTGGAAGATCTCAACTAAACTCCAATGCCACATAATCAAGTCTCCTTACATCATTCAAGATACCATCAAAATACTTTCATTCTTTATTGCACTTGGTTTCCTCCGCATTGAATGATTTTGGTCTTCAACTTAAAGACTCTATTTAATATTTATTTACTATATACTCCAAATTCGTCATTTTGTTCAAAATTCATCTCCAATGTACCTATATTATCCATTAACACCCAAATAAGTATAAAACTTTATAACAAACTAAGTTGGACTTATTCAATATCAAATATAATCAAAAAGCGGTAAAAATGCAAGTAAATTAATATCGAAACATATGAAAATATGCCCAATATCATTTCATGTTTCTAATTTTGCTTTCCTGTATTGGTAGAAGGTAGCAGGTACCTCACTAGAATAGTCGAAATGTGCCAAGTTGCCTTCGACACGAACGCTATAAAAAGAATGAGAAAATAGCCCATGAGGGAATAGTAGAGAGCATCTGTCATTGAATCGCAGGAAGATCAAAATTCTTGGTGAGTTCTTGTTGAATGATGCTGCAAACTGCAGTTTTATTGTGATTAAAGCATGTTTGAATTTCTTTTCCGTGCATACTCCTAGCTAGTTTGGATTTCTGTCTAGTGAAAATACTATTGGATCTGATAACTTCCAAAGCTCTATGTGATCCCCTAAGTTGCTCAGACACTGGTGCGGGTGTCCGTCACCTGTGCGGATGTAGAGGTCGGATCCTTCGAGATGTAGATTCTAAGATTCGAGGATACGAATCCGATTACGGATATGGGTGCAGGGATCCGGCAGAATTCAAAAAAATAAAAATATAAAAATATCTCTAAATTATGAGAAATTTTGTGGAATACTTACATATAGCTTGTAAGTGGGCAGGGGCGGACCTAGAGCATACAATACGGGTTCCTGGGAACCCAATAACTTTTGCGTAGACCCTGTATTTATATTAAGAAATTCACTAAATATTTGTAAATATCTAACTGTGAACCCAGTTATTATTGCATATTAATCTAAAATTACGGTAGGAACCCATAAGCCTCAAATCCTGGATCCGCCTCTGTAAGTGGGGATTATTTTTATTCTCAAGTTGTAGATAAGTAAATGATTGATATCCTTATGCTATTTTCTTTAAATTTACTCTAGTTTTAGTTCTGATTTCGGGAATCAAATTGTATCTCGTCTCTAATTTTTCATCCGTCGTGGTCAAAGTACCCAAAACTGCTTGACCAAATCCGGTGCAAATCTCATACCCATACCAATACAAATGTCGTGTCGACACGGATACCTAAACTGCCGTGTCAGAGCAACTTAGGTGACCCCTGAATTCCCACATAAAAAATGTCCCACTTAGGTACCAGGTAAAAGTTTAGGTTTCCCTATTACCCATGTTTCATTTTCTTTTACTTGATCCCATAAGTAGAAATATGACATGAAGTTCAGTTCTATTACATTTATGTATACGCAGTGTCTTAACCATGAACTTTTCAGTCAATCAATTCTGGCGATGTGCAATATAATTAGCAAAATGATAAAGAGGTGCCGCCTTGGCAGCATCAAAGTAGCTCAGCTCATCCATGGCCTTAGCCACCAGCTCTCCGGCGAGCTCCCGAGCTTTTTCTAGCCCCATCAACTTAGGATATGTAGCCTTATCAGTCACTAGGTCTTTACCAGCTGTCTTTCCCAACTCTTCTGATGACTTAGTAACATCAAGAATATCATCTACCACTTGAAACAACAGTCCAAGGCATCTAGCATAGTTCCTCATTCTCTCCACCTCAATCTCATTCCCTCCCCCAATTATTGCCCCACAAACCACAGCAGCCTCCAATAGTTTCCCTGTCTTATGGTTGTGAATGTACTCTAATTCAGTTAGGCTCACTTGTTTTCCCTCACTAGCTATGTCCACAATCTGCCCCGCCACAAGCCCTTTCGAGCCAACGGCTGAACCCAATTCGCCAACGGCTTGAACCACTCTTTGGGGTGTCACATCTTTAGTCTTGGAAGCTACATGTTCAAAGGCCAAAGACAAAAGTGCATCCCCTGTTAGAACTGCAGTGTCTTCCCCGAAAGCCTTGTGGCTCGTGGGCTTGCCACGACGTAGATCATCGTTGTCCATGCAAGGAAGATCGTCGTGGATGAGTGACATGGTGTGGATCATCTCAACCGAGCAAGCTGCAGGAATAGCTAAGGATTCATCCCCTCCTACTACTTCACAAGAAGCCATGCATAGGATCGGCCGGACGCGTTTTCCCCCAGCTAGAAGTGAGTATCTCATGGCTTCATGAATTTTTATAGGCTCTTGCATTGGTATTGCATCATCTAGTGCTTTGTTTACCTTAATTGCCTTCATTTTCATATATTCTTCAAAGTCAAACTTAGGCAAGATGAATTTCTCTGTCTTAGATGAGAATTCTTCTTCTTTGACTTGAAATGTTTTGGATGAGTTTGCAACACTTCTGGCCTGGATTTTCTTGGGGAGGAAACTATAAGAATGTCTCTGTGGAGGTTTTCCACTGAAAATAAAGTTATTGTTTAGGGTATTGGAAAGAAGCATATTTTCATGGCCAGAAATGGTAGCCAAAAATGCCATTGCTATGAGCTTTTAGAATACTGAAGAAAGTTTTTATGTCAATGGTGTTGGTGGTGAAGGAACAAGGCCATTCTTATATACTTGTACTTTTGTACTAGGGGTGTACATAGGTCGGGTTGGTTCGGATTTTACAATTACCAAACCAAACTAATTGTGTCAGATTATTAAATCTAAAGACCAAACCAATAAAACTCGGGTTTTCCGGTTTCGGTTTTTCTCGGGGTTTCTTGGGTTTTCGGGTTATTCGGGGTTTTTTTCTCGGTAAAATCTTCGTAGAACAAAATACATAAATTATGCTCAAAATATTTCTTTAGTCCTAGTAAGATACAACTATATAAAGTATTTTCCAAGAATATAATACAAAATATGAGATATGTCATGGCATTATCCTAAAATATTCAACAATAAAGACAATAAAATTATGTAACATAAATATTGCTAATTAAAAAGCCATAATAAAAATAAACATAATCTAAGAGTACTAAGTCATGCTGAAATAAGTAGACTAATAAGGGAGTATTAAATACATAATTAAACGCTAAAGAAAAAATAAAAATAAATTATGCATTTTTATCTAAATTATTGCAAAACAAAAAATAGATATTCAATACATTCCTATTCGTAGTATTGAATTAAATGTCTTTTGTTAGCATTAATATTGATCTGATTTTGGTTTGGACTTTTGTTAGCACTATTTAATTTACTAATATTAATGACTATAAAACTTATTAGAACATTCAAAAGTTCCAAGTCCAACCTTGAAATAATACCTCAAAAAATAAAATTATGAAATCTTTTAAGAGATATTTATAAATTACCTCACAATAAGTATATTTATATATTAAATATATCTAAAATTTCTATATATGTAATGTCGGGTTAGTTTGGTTTTAGTTTGACTTTCTTTAGTTAAAACCAAACCAAACCAATTATGATCGGGTTCTTTTTTTCCAATACCAAACCAACTCAAACCAACCCATAGTCGGGTTTTTTTCTCGGTTTGACTTGGATTATCGGGTTGGTGCGATTTATCGGTTTCCTTTGTACACCTACTTATACTTTTATAGGTAAGTGATGCTTTGATTCCTCTTGCATAAGGTTTATCAATTATTCCCTCAATTACAACTTGGACTTTAGTGAGTTTTCTAGTGTTTTATTCAACAAAAATTATAGTGATGTGTCGCACGCTTTAAATTAAAAAAAAGAAAAGCACACTAAACTTCAAATATGCCCGGGGTCAAAGAATGGCAGGACCATATTGAGTCTTATGTAAGTATTTTTATCTTGGGTTTATGCAAGAGGTTGTTCTCGCAGTTATTCGTAACCTCCCGGTCACATCACGACAGTTTTTACCTGTGCGCAAAGGATCTCCTTCTTCAATACAAGCTTTCAATATGTTAGGCTAAAATCCGCTGTACCTAAAATCTGCAATTCTTTGATTAATAGCTAAGACACTATTAATTCTACTTTTTATTGAAAGTATCTTCATAACGAGGGTAATTAAAGATTCAATAAATTTATGTTAGTGGATGTGTAGAATGACACTGTTTCTATTACAGTCCAAATTATATATATAGAATATTTTTAGTTTTTCCAAAATCAAAAGCTAGCTACTGCACCATTTAATATCATGGACCAGAAATTCATGGTCAAGGGATTTGTTTTTAATATATGCCCAGTTTGGCAAGGAATTGGTTTTTTTATAGTTATATGCTGGTAACATTCAAAGCATGAGGCTATCAGGAATAAATTTGGTATTTACACCAATTCAGTAAATACATACTTTGTGTCTTTACATATTAAGCCATAGTTAATTAATTTATCTCCTCATTTTGTTTCTTAATTATAGTAAATTAATATGATTTGATGTAAATACTGGATGTTCAGAAGATTTTTAACGAGGATATTAGCAGATAATGAAAAGCAAAACTCATTTAAAATAGAAAGGAAGCAGCAACATCCAGAGATTCCATAGCCTGCAGAGACAAAATAAATAATGGATTATAATTCAGAAACTCCCAGACTACATAGATGCTACTTTGGAGACATCAAACCTTAGAATCCTAAGGAGGCAGGTTCTAAAGAAAAGCACAAAAAAAGTATATGCTGTCTTAATAAGTGGAATTGTAAGAGATTCTTTTTTCGTTATACTACCATACCATGTAATCCATCGTCGTGAGCCGAGGGTCTATCGGAAACAGCCTTTTTACTCCTTCGGAGCAGAGATAAAATTTGCGTACACACTATCCTCTCCAGACCCCATTTGTGGGATTCCATTGGATTGTTGTTGTACCATACCATGTAATGACTCTATAGGGGGCCTTGGTTTGGATGGAAAGAAAATTAAAGTTAGAGTTTAGACCATTTAAGAAGTTTCAATTGATTAAGAAGTTTGAATTGATGAAGGGGAGACTCAGAGTAATGGTAAAGTCGTCTCCGTGTGATCTATAGGTTAAAGATTTGAGTCGTGAAATCAGCTACCGATCCTTGTATCAGAGTAGACTGCCTATATCGCATCTCTCAGGGAGCGCCCTTCCTTGGATCCTGTGTAAACACATGATGCTTCGTAAATCGGGTTGTCTTTTTTTAAAGAAGTTTGAATTGATTTATGCACATAGTTACGCTTGGATAAGAAGGAAAAGATAGAAAGAAAAAAAATCCACGAGTTTGAATTGATTTGATCAATTCCATTCCTTCACTAAAGGTGTCAATTTGACTTTTGTGTTTAAGTTAATGGCGTCACTTTAAGTGAATGACTAACAACATTAAGATCTTATAAGTTGAAGATATTGATCAAACCTAATTTAATTAACTCCATGCACAATGGCGGAATTAGGTGGGCGGAAAGGGGTTTAGCCGAATCGAGGGGTTCACTCAAAAATTATACTTTGTATATAAGAACAATTTTTTTTCATGTACACATATTAGATATTGAACCCCTTCAGCTTATTCGTATGTTTATGTTCTATTTTTTTCTTTTTCTTTTTGTATTTTCGTGGTAAAAATCCTGGTTCGGCCTTAGTCTGTGCATTGACTATGTCAATTTGACTTCGGCATGTTGCNTATATATATATATTTGATTTGTGGTTCTAAAAATACGTGATCTATTTTTATGCTAGTTGTTAGGCAGTTGATGCTATATGAAAGACTTAGAAACGAGATAAGATCTTGAGAGCAAGGTGATAATCAAACCGAATGGCTAATAATTGAGGCCTCAAGCTTGCTTATTCGAGGCCTCGGGGTCAAGTCCGATGCCCCGCCGAGGGTAGCCGATGGACGACTAATAGTTATAATAAAATCAATGACGGCTCTTTATGGCCAATAACAAGAAATAAATGAAGAACAATAAATAGAACACAATGAATGTGAGCAATAAATGGAAGCAATAAGATCAAGAGAATATGTTAGAGAGTAGAGAGAATGTTCTTGTGTATTTAGTATTGAGCAAAACAGATGACTACAAAATGACAAGGATCCCCTTTATATATGAGGGGAAATTCCAACGTAGTACAAATACATTTATTACAGAGATATATAGATGGGACAGCTAGTTGGTGTCATGATTCGGGTCTGAATTTAGTTTATTAGACTTTGTCAGCTCTAGTTATGCGCCTTGGGAACTCCCCACCTTTTCATCATAGCCGTTGGTCTGCACCGCCCCGAGGTCGTGCTTCGATAGCCCTCGGGGGTGAACCTCGACCCTAGTCTCGAACCTGTGAAATATGCTTACGAGGCATCACAACGACGGAAAAGTGGACCCTCCAATTTTACCGATACAAATAATCCCCGCGTTTTTTAGAGTGAAAGTGATAAGAAACGACCTTGAATTCCTGCCCCTCTGGTACTTCCATAATGACGGCAGTCATAAGGTGCCAAAAGACGGCGTACACACAGCCCTTGAAAGCCTGCACATTGATTACAACGGTTGGCTATCCTTTGGCTTCCTTCAACTCGCGTGTGGGGCATCTATAAATACTTCTCCTCTCATTCTTTACAACTCACTGCACCATCAAGCCCCCAAAAAGGTTCCTCCTACCTTTACTTTTGTTCTTTCTTCAAAACACATCTTCCCTTTTTCCTCTGAAATCTTTTAGGAATGGCGAAAACTTCCGCCTCTACTTCTTAGGAGAATGTGACCTCCTCCTCTTCGCTCCCATCTAAAGGCAAAGAGGCAATACCTCCTTGTTCTGAGGAATGCGTTCCAGGATTTTTTGCAATGGCTTTTGATTTCAAGGTCGAGAAACTTTCTTCGAGGCCGGGGCATGGTGAGCCTATGTCTCAGTATATTAACTCAATAACAGACATCGAAAGTGTGAGGATTGATTGTCACTGGGGGGACGCAGAGTTTGTGGAGATCCCTACTCGGGAGGAGCATATAACGACATATAAAGCCGATTTTCTCAGTGTGTATACTTACCCATTTACACTTGGGCCGGTGGGGCCATCCTTGCCTCCGATTGATCCCGTGATTCTCGACTTCTGCCAATGGTATCAAGTGACCCTCGGCCAAATTAACCTTTCGTTCTGGCGCATTGTTTATATGATCAGGTACTATGTGAATATGATTGAGGGGATGCCCTTCACCCTCGATCACCTGATCAGGATGTATAGCCCCCTTCTTTTCTGTGAGGGTCTGATTAAGCTCCATTTCCGAGCTTCGAGGGACCTTTTTGCTTGCATCAAAGAAGTTAGGAATGGAGGGTGGATGAGCCGCTTTGTCCGAATTAGGACTTCGAAACTGATCCTGGTGGAAAGGATGCCGTTCCCCGAGAGGTGGAACATGGAATGCAAGTGGATACGTTATCTAGCATTTCCTTGCTTCTTTTTAGGTACATTTTTCCACGCACTTAATTTCTTCTACTAATGCAGCCGTAGAAATTTACCTTGGCGCGGTCACAGACCTCTCGGGCTGGGTCAGCCGGATGGACTCAATTTGCCCATATGCTGAACGAGTGTGGCGTGATCCGTCTCGAGTTCGATGGGAAGCTAAGGACCATGGTGAGCCTTCACCCATGTTGCAGTCGTACCTTTCAATCTGAATTG